TGAAAATACTTGAGGGAGGAGGTGGGTGAAGGAGGAAGAGTAAAAAGGGAAGTGTAGCCGATTGGTCAGGTCGTACAGTCCCACATTGTTTAAGTATTTCAATCTAAAAGAAATTCCTTAAAATATTGTGTTGTTTTACTTTTACATTTAATGCTATATATGTTAATACCATAAAGTTGATTTTTTAAAATAAAAATATCTTTTATTTCTTGTAAAAATGGCCGAGTTTATCAGAAACGCACCGAGTCGCAGTTTGAAAAGAAAAAATGCGTCAAGAGTAGTTTTGAATTCAACTGGTTGTACATTTTATCCTGCTATTAGTTCAAAGTCGAAAAAAGAATATTCTTAACGTGAGAACTATCTTTAAACATTGTGTTTAACGGTCATACCAGTCTTATGGAGGAATAAAACTTCAAACCTTCCTTCACGATTCAGATTTGATGTGACTTGGTGTATTTAATTCTATTATACTCCGTCCAAAGGACATTAGACAGCCCTGACTCAAGAGTTAATTAATTTATTTTCATTCGAGTTATCAGAGGGATGAAGTTTGAGCATCATGTGAGTAAGTATGTCGATAGCCAAAGGGCGAACTCACGTATATTTGTTTGCGACGCTGCAGACTTGTCATAATTTTTTTTTTCATTGGAAAACTAGTCAATGTGATTTCTTAAAATCCTCCTTGAATTTTTTCCCCTATAAGCAGAATATTCTGTAGAAATTTCAAGCAATAAGGTTGGTTTGTTTCCCTTCGAGAAAATAAAATATGAGCATTAAGTAAGCACAAGAAAAATAAAACAACGCATTGGAAATACGTGATTTTGCACTTTAGCCATCGATACAGACTAATAATTCTCAAAAGTTCAAAGAGCGTCCTCAACATTTGACCTAGTTCTCAGATTTACCTACTCGAGAACCAAAGCATAGTACATGTAAACACTGAAATGCATTTAATTGGATACTCTTAGATCGATGCATGCTCCGATCGGAGAAAGTCATCCATCAAGACGCGAAGTCTTTTGTTAGGAGTCGCATACGGCCGTGCTAAGGAAGAGCGCAGTATGAACATTCGAGAGTTGCCAAATTTCCTCCGGTAAAATGTTTACTTTTGAGGAAAATTATCAATATTTTTCCTTGAAATGTTCAGACTTTTTAGATCAAATCACGGACAAAATTATCTGAGAAATTGGAAGAAAAATATGCGAAAATATTTTTGATGATTGGTGATTTGTCAAAGGGAATTTGGCAACGCCTGAAGGCTCATACGGCGTTTTCCCTATGCACGGCAGCAAAGAACCGCGACGATAGCGACCCGTATCTCAAGGCGCACGGATCACGGTAATGGAAAACTCAAAGTTTAAACAGACAGATGACAGGGTCCTCCATCTCAAAGCAGATACATCAGCGACATCTTTGTGTACATGATTGCAGAATCTTGGTGAGCCTGATTGATTTATCATGCAATTGATAAAACAGATAGGAATTGTTAAACTGCCGAAAAGAACGATGCAAAAAGTACACAAATGAAGATTCGAGAGGAAGTGCATGTTTTCGCTGTTGAACCGTGTTACTTCTTTGCGATGCTGTGTTTTGCTGAAAGAAATGAACTAGTCTAGGGACGACCAAAACTCCCATTTTTGGATGTTTTTCAAATAGCTCCTCTCCTTGAGAGGGCTCCATTTGGATTAAATTGCGACTAGGGAAGATTCAAACAGATCCTTGACACGGCATCGTGAAAAGGACAATTTTTGCAAATAACATCGAGTTAAAGTTAGAAGTATGATTTTGAAAATAGGGCCATGAAAGGGATGACAATGATTCGCCAATACAAAAAATACAGAATCCGATAGAGAATGCATTACGAGTTTGGTAAATTTTAGGACAGATTCGCACCTATCTCAAAGTTTGTCAAAATCGTAGAAAATTTTTCCGTCCGAATTTTACACGTTTTGCAGTGGCAAATAATTTTGATCCCTATCAAGGATCAAAGTCCAAAGTTGAATTTTACGATTTATACTCAAAGTTGGGAAAAATTCTTCATTTATCGGACGGAAGAACGTAACTCTATACTAAGGTTGCAAAATTCTCGCAAACAGTTAAATTTTTCACAAGAATGAACCTATGAAATTTTTTCCCATTTTTTTTTTATTTTTGCATGAGATCAGAAATAAAAATCAATGATATTTTTAATTAAAAATAGCTAAGAATCCTCCCCGTAAAAATGCAATTTCTATGAGGAATTTTACAACATCAAATTGTAGTTACGTTCATTCATGAAAAAAATGACAAAATAAGCTTTTTAAAATGCAATTTTGAAGGATTTCCGATACTTCCTTTAAGAACGATGGAAGCCAGACAGCGGGCCGATTATTGAAACTGATGGACAAAGCTGTAGACAAAGACAACAAGAGGGATTCGGAGGGATCCTATTGGTGGAAGTGAGTGGTGGCAATGGACATAGGAGGTAGGTAATGGACTAAACGGCAACCCACCAAAGACCCGACAGTTAGACCATCATTTTCTACCTTAGTCTATAGGAACCAACCATGCCAACCAATAGGATCGCTCCATACTCCCTACGTCTTCTTTTTCCATCGCTTTGTCTATCAGTTTCAATAACCGGCCCGCAGAGCCTCTTAAGAAAAAGAGAAGTTAAAGGAACGACAATGAATACGACCCTGTGTGTGCAGTCTCTAGAGATGACAACCTTAGCGCCACCTGGCAACAAAGCAGCGAACGAAGGGTGGGAAAATTACAAAGTAGCTCCTGGCGGGGACATCCCCCGGCGTAACTTGATTGCACCTATGAGCTGTCCGCAGAATAACATGGAGCCCTCGAACAAAAACCACTTTTATGCACGGCGTTCCCGTTGGCATTTAAGCGACTTGGACCGAGGAGGATAGAACAAGCGAGGATTCGGAGGTGAGCAGGACCAGTGGGAGCCCACGCAGTACACTACCGGGCCTTTGAAGCTATTTTTCCTAATGAGATTTACTTCAACCCTTACGACTCCCCCCCCCCCACCTTACGACCCTTCGGACGGACTTCAAACGCGAGCAGGGATCCTACCTTCGCAGCCAGAAGGCTCCAGTCCTGGGCTCCTGGGTCTCTGCCACCAATTCCGTGATTTTCGTTTTGCCCCAGACAACAAATTTATTGAAATCAGAGGCGATATATTTTAGAGACCCTCGAGACTAAAAATGAACGTATCTCTGCCAAACGGAACTATAGACGAGTAAAAAAGATGGGGTGTACTCTGGAAAGCTGCATAAGAAACAATGTAAAAGTGGGCGTGATATCCTTCTCAAGAATCGAGAAGCGGGATTTTACAATCTATCAAATGGAAGTAAGCGGCAACTGTATGCGGCGCCCATGAGCCGTGGACATGGGAAAAGAGCGTTGTGGGCAGGGCTCATGAGTTCAAGCTGACCACGAACGAGCGGTGGTTTTGTCGCCGCTGACGTCACTGGCGCTTTGTCATTCTCATTACAGTCCCCGACCAACGAGCACACCCCTTCTTCGCCCCACCTGCCTCTGATTCCGTTTAGCAGATCGTTTATCCAGATAAAAGCAATGAGCCTGTTGCAAACTTCAGCTAGAGCAAGAAGAAAGGTTGGTGTACTTATTGAAAATGGCTCAAAAATCACGATGAGTGCATCGGGAAAGTCTGAAATACACTTCTAACTCCACAATCTACATGAGAAATATGCGTTATTGTAAAGTTCCCTCTTCAATAACGATATTACGGTACAGATGAACATTTCGTAAAATGAGTCGTTCCGTCAACCCTTGCGCACTAAGATGCTACACAATATTCGACAGCAACGCGAGGCAAACACTGAAAAAAAAGGATTGCTAATTCACCGATTTAGGGTGGAGCAAAATTTGCTTCACTTCGTAAAGCTTTCTTATCCGTTCACAGTGTTGAATCAAGTGAACGACAAGCACGAATTGCTATACCGATTTGCTACATCTGCGCGCCTTCACGCAGTTAATCTTGCATCGAGTGGCTTGGAAGTGTAACTGCATTTTTTGGTATTGGTACTTTGTGAACAGTAAAAATAGCTCAATAGTTAGGCTGAAATAGCGGAATTTACGGAAAAGTAACGAAATTTACGGAAGAAAAACTAAAAAGGTAACAGACGTAGCTTTTCAGAGAGCAAAATCACCTACACGCGTGTGTGTAAGTTGGCTGAAATTTGCGAAGCGATTTTACCTGCATGGTTTGCACGTTCGTTTTTTAGCTACACCATGCCATGAAATACCCGCGTGCAAGGCAAATTCAGCAATATTTTTTTTCAGTGAGGGTAAATAAAAGCAGGCCGGTTGATGAAATGCCGGCTCGTCACGTTTGTTTTGGCGGTTTGGTGTAGGTCGTGTTGAATATTCCGTAGCATCCTGGTGCGCTAGGGTTGGATCGAACGATTACGGAATCTTCACGTGTGCCGCACTATTTTTTTTTTGTTTTTTTTTTGAAGCGAGATGCTCAAAAAACGCATATTTCTTGTGCACATTGTGAAGTAAGGAGTGTATTTCAGACTTTCCGGATGCGCTCATCGGGATTTTTGAGCCATTTTCTAAAAATAAAGTACTCATCTTATTGCTCTAGCTGAAGTTTATAAAATGCCGATTCGCGCGACGAAAATGACTAAAATTATTTGGCTCCTTACCTAGATATTTACATTTTAGCAGTGATTGCGGAATATTTAAAGTTTCAGCGCAGAAAAAACCCGGATCCTACGGGAATTGAATCGCGTTTGTATGTTCAACGGATTTGTCAGGTGTCTTAAAGGGGTATCTTGTCGTCGTTAAGGGATACACGTGTCGATCAGGAGACCTCATTCATCAGGACGTGTCGCTTGGACTTTGAAAGAGCGGCATTTGAAGCTAATGAAGTCGTTTTCTCGGGTATCCGTCTCAAATTCTGCAAGTTTCATTTGGGAATAATTGATTTTATACAATCTACCTTGTTTTTAGATACATTTGAAAAGAAAACTCACCGTTTAAAAAATCACGCATATGTCTGCCGAGTACCGATAGAACTCGATCGTAACCATATTGACTCACGAATCCGACGAAGTGAACACCCATCTGATCGAAGAAGTCCTTTTCTGTTATTCCTAAAATCTGAAAACACAATTGTAAAACGTAAAATTATTCAATACGAAACTTAATATTACTAATTGGATACAGTTGAGCAAAGTAGTCACACCTTTATCGCGGTGTTTCAAGGACTCAGCGCCCCTACTTCGAGTTTTTGTGAGAAAACCAATCAACATCTCGATGGTGAAAGTACAAAAGTGCGCATCGCGGAAAACACGATTTTCCGCGGGCGGCCGGCCAGCGCAAAAAGCGCATCGGCTCCTACAAACCTAAACGGATACATCAAGCATTGCGCAATGCGTGAAGTATCCTATTAGGTTTGTAGGCGCTCTTGCGCATTTCGCGCTGTCAAAAAGCCACTCCGCTCTGTGTTAGGGTCTAATATTAAAACGCACGGAGTCAGCGTTTTTCGACTCACGATTTCGAGGTTTGCACACTCTGCATGAATTATTCTCATCTAAATTGATGGGAAAAAAGTATACAAGGAAAATATTATGTGCATTTTGTAAATATTAAGGTGGTTCCATGTCGATGATTTTCAAAGCACATGAAATTTTTCTTTCATATTTTATGCTTCAACTGTGCTGCAGCGTGGTGTACGTGAAATCAAATGCTGAACATTGGACGTACTTGACTCTGAAAGATCGATGTACAAATCAATGGTGAAAGTGCAGGAGTGCGTTTATCGGAAAATACGAATTTCCAGGGGAGTATAAAAAAACTGTCTTCATTCTTCTTTTTTGTTGAAAGAAGGGTATTAATTTTTAAAGACAGCAAGAATAAGATATTTTTTCAGACTCCATCAGCATTTTGCATACTTTCTCGAACCGCAAAAGTGACAAATTGCAGCTAGGAATTTGAAGTGCAATAGGACTTTACATGGGGGAATGACGAATTTACCCCTTATCAGCTTATGCCGAGTTGGAGAAATTTCAAACATCGTATCATCCAGGGGCTCAAAATTTACGGCCATTGAGGGTTGTTGCCGCTCTTTGAGGGTTGTTTTCTTAACATCGTGTGAAGCGAGCGCACCACCATTTTCGCAACAACCCGCCACAGTTTGACGGCCGTTGTCTTAATAAGTTATTCTTATATCAGCAACGAGCGCGTAAATTAAGTGCTATACTGCTGTCTTTAGGAAGAACGCCGTAAGAGCCTTCAGGCGTTGCCACGTTGCCTTCAACAAAATACTAATTTACCGGGAAAATTTGGAATGTTTTTCTTCAAAATTTTAGGAGAATTTTATTCGCAATTCAATCTGGAATGTCCAAAAATCTCAATGAAGAATACACATACTTTTCCTCAAAAATAGATACTCTATCGGAAGAAATTTGACAACTCCCGAATGTTCATATGTCACTTTTCCTTAGCAAGGCAGTTTAGCCCTTACCTATCCGGCCGTTTTCTAATGAGTTACCTTGGTTACCGCTCGTCGGGAATATGAATTTTGCCGCGGTCGTCTTTCTAAAGTATTTATATTAGTTGCAGCCGTGACAGTGTTGCCATATCCCGGATTTCATTAAGAATTTCAGAACTTTTCGAATAATTAGAAATTTTCCCAGAATGATTGTGTGGTTTTATCATTTTATCGGATGGATTATTATTACCTGGATGTTATTTTTCCGTCCCGTTTTTCTTTATTTCTGAGATAGGCTATGTCCATTTCGGAATTTTCTTCTTTCCTCAGGCCAAAATTTTGATGGTTGTCTAGCACTTAAAAAAAAAAATATCCAGGTAATTTTCCCAGAATCTTTAAATTCCCGGAATGTATACCTATTTTTGGAATTTTTCGGAACTCTGGATTTTTTTAGCCAGTTCAACCGATTATTTCATTAAATTTGATGATCCTCGGAACTTAATCTGGGCGTATTCCTAAATTTTTTGCCGGAGCTTTTAAAAAAATCGGAATTTTTCTTGGAGATTTTGTAAATCGGAATCGATTCCGGGAACCGGGAAATCTTTGGTAAAATAAAATGGGAGTGCTGGAGAAAAATATTACCTGAATTGCTTTGGCGGCTAGTTTGGGAATTAATGTTTCCGGGTAAACTTGATGGACACTGAAGGAAACTTGCTCGACGCCGGCCAACCTCCGGATCTCCTCCCATTTTTCCTCGCCGTAGACTGATTTTATGTAGTCCGATATGTTCTCCAGTAGCAGCCCGTACATCCTGAAACAAAACCGTGAGAAACAAATTTAGGAGGAGCTAATCTGATAAGTTCAATACACGTAATAGCCGTATTAAAATGGACGTATTTATGCTAAATGGAACTATGTGCAAGTAGAGGTATGGGGGATGCTTGTTAGTTGAGGACCGTAAGAATGAATGTGGATTCTAAAGCGCCAGCGACGTCAGCGGCAACGATGCCGTCTCTATTGTCGTTCTCGCATATCTGTAACTCATGAGCCCTGTCCACAAGGCTTTTGTCGTATGTCCACGGCTCACGAGTTAGCAATTAGTTCCTTTTGATTTAACTTAAAATCCCGCTTTTTCATTTTCTCAAAAGGAACTATATCCAATTTCACACTGTTTCTTATGCAGCTTTCACGAGCACACCCAATCTTTCCACTTCCACATAGTTCCTTTTAACATAAGTACGTCCGATTTAAGGGCTTGGAGAACAAGGCACATAGGACAAGACGTATAAGTGCAGTTTTTGAAAAATTTAGATATTGACAATTTGACGTAAATCTAATCTGAATACATGTATACTGTGAGAAAACCCAAATTTCAAATTTTGACCATTAAAAAAGTCAGTTTGAACTGTCTTGCTGCCATTAGGATCCGTGTAATTTCAGAAACCTCAATAACGTATTTCTCGAAAAAACAATCCAGAACGTGCAGTTGCACGTTCTGGACGTTTATCCTCCAAGCCCCTCAATTAATTTTGTATCATCTTATGGTATAAAATTGAATTGAAACGCTCACAAACTTTTTTTCAGGATGATGCAGAGAGTTTTCCTTAGAAATCTCAAAATTCGATTTTTAGACAAAAAAATGCTCCTCTACGGGACTAAATGTTGCAATTTGGAGCTAAAATTTCTGGCGCAAAAAAAACACCTATCTACATAGGGAAACCAATTACCTACATGTTGTATCTATAATGAGCAGGAATATGTAGTTCCTTACATAGCCTGGATAATATGTTCCCGTGAACTAGGGTCTCTTCTCCCGTGGATGTCGAAGTACTTTTTCGAGTTTATTTGATTACGACCTCTTCTTTCTCCTCCTTGCGTTCTTGCGGGCCGATTGTTGAAATTGATTGACATATAGTAGATGACAAAATTAGGCAAGGAAAAAATGGAGCGATCCTCTTTAAGTACGTAATAGAGACCCTATATTTCGTCCATAATTTCTTCCCGTAGTCCATAACAACCATGAATGTTTCAACGGATAAGATCGCTACATTTTCCTTTTGTCTATGGCTTTGTCTATAAATGTTAATAATCAGCCCGCAGAATCATCGAAGAGGAATATCACTTATGACAGCTGCTGCACGAGACACGGCTTTAAAAAAGCTTGCAGAACGCCTTCAATTGTGACAAATGCAACACTCATTGTCATCAAACAAGTTTAGTTGCATCCCGGCCAGGCGCTATTCAGAAAGTAGTAAGCTTCTCATGGACGGACGTTGAAAAATAAGGATTTTCTTCCTTCCTTCTTCCGATTGGACATATAGCGCTGCAGGAGTGACTATAGATCCGACTCATAAATCGCTAAGATGTTTGAAGTGTATTAAATGTCTATAAACATTTCAGTCAATCGATGGCCGACCTTCGGGCCGCCCATCCTTGATTGATCGCTTGTTTTGGAGACTGCCGCACAGAAGGACGAGTCTTTGGAAGGAACCGGACATGGAATTTTTGACAATAATTGTAAAATTGCACGTTTATTTCGTCACAATATCAATTTTAAGGGGTGTTATTTCTAGGAAATTTCACGAGAAAACCAAAGAAACTACCTTTTAAACATTAGCATTTGATATTAATGAAGATCGATGCGCTTTTAAAGTTTTCAAAACATGTCCGACCTCTCCCACTGACTCGATTCACTGTGTGTCAAGCAGTTTTCGATCACGAATTCTGCAGTGACATTTTGAAACCCAAGTTTCAACAGAGTTATTATGATGGTCTTGAAACTGCTGCTGTAAAAATTAAATTCAAAGTGATTAAGATGGTCCTTGATTTTAAATTCGAGATTGTGGTGGTCTTGCAGATGGCCATTAAAATCAATTTTTATTCAAAAATCATAGGTGGCAACATACCACCCAGTGCAATAAAATATAGGAATTATTAAAATATTATAATGAGAGCTGCAAATTGCGTATCTATCTTTTTCACAGAGTTGAAAAATACAACAATAAAGAAACATATTGTCGTTGAAGGCTGATTGTCTAGTTCCTATTTTCAAGGCACTCGCAGTTATTTCCGCAAAACGTTGAAACCTTCCGAATCGAGTCCCTCTTGTAAAATTTACTACTACATACAAGAATACAGAAAAATCTCGAAGATCCAACAACTCCTTATCCGACCCGTTTGTTCACCGCTGTGATTGGCATTTTGGAGCCTGAAATGGCACTTTGTCAGTCTTTTTTGGTCTCTTTTCGATTACCCGGCATTTTCGTTAGCCGAAATCCCCAACCGCAATATTATGTCTGATATATGAGAGTCTACTGTGAATTTTAAAATTTAATTATTAAAATTTTGGCCCGAAAAATCGAGAAAGGCGAGTATTCGGAAAATTATATCGCAGTCACGATACGTGTTCTTGCATTTTTCAGCTGAGGAAACTTCCACTGAACGGAATATTTTGTGCGAGGATTTCCACGAAAGCGCAACTTTGCACTTCGACATTTTTCACAATCAATACACCTCCGACCTCCAACTCCCCCACGCCTACCAACCCACATGCAAGTAAATGTTGATTTATTGTGAAGTATGGTTGATGATATTGAAGTTACATACTTTAGAAAAGTCTTGACGATGCACTTGTTCTTGCAGCATCAGAATCAGTGGCTTTTGAAAACTAATATTTGCCACGACTTTAAATGGTAAAAATATGCGACCGGAACTTTCGGAGCGCTGTAATTGAAGCACGCGTATTTAGAATTTACCCATCAATATAGTGATTTGCAAAACTCTGTTTAAAGTCAGATAGAATCGTGCAAAGAACCCCGCTGTTACGATGTCGCGAAATTTCGGTGTACTGTACTTTATTTTCCCCATACGGTATTTTGTCGTAGAGCCATTATTGAGATGGTGGAATTCTTTCACTTCCCTTTGTGCATGTTTGAATGCACGGATTCGTAAGGTGGGTGAGGAGAGTTATGACGTCATTTCCTCCCCTCTCCTCCCCTCCACCCATATTTACCTGCATCGTGGCTTTTTGCTGATGAGAAAAATTTCTGAGGTAGCTATTGTTCTGTCTTGGAGGAAAGATATAAAAAGCTGAAGCCATAGCAGAGAGAGAAGGGGGTGGGGAGAGGGAAGGGAGAGAGAAAGAGAGAGAGAAAGAGAGATATGACATTTCTACGACGCCTTCAAAACTTAGTAAGCTGAAAGAAATATATAACTGTGAGAGGGGTCCTTTGATCGTAAATTGTATTTTATAGATTTGTTTTTTTTTCACTTATTTTTAAATTAGAGAGCATCATAAATTTGTTCATTCCCAAATCGAAGATGCCCGCATATTAGAGGTATTTAACAAGAAAAAAACACTGAGAAATGTGGCCCGAATCTTGTGTAACAAGGTGGTAAAATAATGCTGGGTCCACACTTTTTTGTGGGAAAACAAGAACGAACTTGAAAGTTCTTCAACTTTTTGGCCTTGTTTCCCCCGCAAAAGAAAATAAAGCCAGCACTATTTTACCACCTTGTTTAAAAGTATTTTTTAACACATATACATATAATAAACTTCACTTTCAACATTTTGGATGCTTAAAAAAAATTGTAATTTATTTGGAAGGAAGTGCATCTCCTCTATTTTTCTGGACAGGGTTACCAGATTTTAAGTCAATTGCCTGAAAGTTGATTAATTCAACTGAGTTTACTAATTGGACTGCATTATTTGCAGTTCGGATTTACAAGCTTTTGCTCATCCGTAAAAAAACATTTGTGTACATGGGAGAACTGATGGTATATTCGTTGTTTCTAAACTAAGCCAGAAATTGTATAGTTCTCACTAGCAAAATGAAGTCCAAGTAGCACCCATAGCAGGGCACCCCTGTAATCAGGTTGTCAGCGTTACATTTTGAAACGACGTAAAAAGTTACAAGTTCGTTTTATATTCCTCATTATTCTAAAAATCGCATGCATCATTCCTGAAGCGTATACATTTTGACGATACAATCATGAATAATGCGAGATTTAGCGGGAAAAAGTTGGTTTTTAACTGCGAAAGCATTAATTATTTTCCACTGGATGCACGGAAAATTACAAAGCGCAATACTGAATAATGGGATGAAAAAAAGTTTTTTTCTCCCTCTTTGTTTCTCCTTCCCTCTAATTGAGAATCAACGAGCAAATATTATTTACGTACATTGATTTTAAACAATATCATATCTCTACGTGACATTGCCTCGTAAGTTAAACGCTTTTTTCAAATCGCTCCCTGATGATCAATCTATTGTATTTAATGACGTCCAATTATTTACTGCTCCTCATGAAAAGGAGCCTAAAGTAACTTGATTGTCGATGTCCCCTTTGCTTCTCATTTTCCACGTAATGGCAGGAGGCACGACATTTTTACCGCAGCAATATTGACGATGAAAAAATATCCGTGCAAAAAAACAGCAACAATATCGTTTACGTACTCACATAAACGACTGGTTCGAAGCTCGAACGCACAAAAGCTCGGAAGAAATAACAAAGCCACTCAGTGTCAATTTCGCAGGAATTTGCGCGAGTTTAAGCGGTTCGAAAAAGTGCGCAAATGACTTCAGTTTGGAGATTTGATGTGTTCCGATCCTTTTGATCCCTCCGATCCCGCTGTTTTCGATCACACCTGTTCACTCAATTTTCAAAAGCGCGCAACTCGTAAATCACTTCACTACGAAGATGCGACTTTTTACAAAGCCCTTCATCGAAGGACATTGCATTGATCGCTCGAGTTCTTTTCCGATGTCTTAAATTTAAGGAACAGAGACACACCTCCGTTACTAGCTGATTAAT